GGTTCATTATCACCGCTAAAGATACGCCCATTTTTCGCACCGCCAATATAACTTACACATTGAATAAAATTTATAGTACGTATCCACAGTATAAATGGATATCAACAATGTTTAGTACGTTTAGTCAGTTATTTAGATCGTCGAAACAACATTTTTTTGTGTAGCCTAGCTCACTATATAGAAGGACTTGTGGTAGAGGAAGAGCGTCTAGCAACTGGTATGTTTTGGTAAATTTTAGTCAAGTATTCTAATTATATAATGTTATTTGGCCTTTGGAATTCATGTTGTTTACGGTATCTTGTTGTGATTAAGGCTATTTTATTTGACAACGAATAGGGCAAATAATGCTCAGGAGTTTGATTCTACATACATGTTAGTCCTTTAGCTAGTGAAAATGGTAATTATTATTAATGGCCATTATATTCTTAGAAGAATCCAATCCTGTTTTATTTTTTTCAACGTTCTCTTTGATATGATATTCCATCAATATAAACAGTGGACGTGATGTCACGCTTTATATAAAGATATATTGTAAACATATCCAGTATCCCTTTACATGTAGTTCTGACTTTTTGATCCCAAAGAGGTAATTCAATCTTGCAAAATATGTAAATAGCTAAAGAAATATGACAAAGATAACTTTACTTGTTCTTTTTTTATGTGGTTAACATAATTGATTTTAAAATCGGTATTTACCAAAGGAACCCAATGAATACAATATTATTCCAAACTTGTTCAAACAAAACGATCAATGCAATTGGAGAAGAGAAATAATCTCGCTGGTCTATGCGCGTCTATAAATAGTGGCTTCAAGAAATCTCCTCATCATCTTCTCATCAACAACCTTTTTGGTACTTCTCTCTACTTCCATACATATATCTATTTATCATATAGTTTTCCTACATATAAAAACATGTTGAGTAATAACTACAATGATCATCAAACTTGGTATTTTCTTATCAAGATCTTGATATCCACTAGTGATTTTTTATGTTTTTCTTGTATCCAAATTTTTTTCCACTCGGAATTTGAAAGTCGAGCTTTAATTGTTTAAGAGGCATTGATAGTGTTGACAGAAGATAGAGAGCACAGATGATGAGATGCAATTCGGAGCAGTTTCTTTGCATCCTACTCCTTTGTGCTCTCTAGGCTTCTGTCATCACATGTTATTTGCCGTAACCGATCTTATATATCTATTCAGATCTTGTTCCTGCTATGACTTAATTTCTACTTGAAACTATAAGGAACGCACATTTTAGCCCTAAACATGTTTTCATCAAGAGAAGTTTTACCTACATGTTGGTATAAATCATTTGTTCTAAGTTGAATTTATATTTTGTGTAAGTTTCTAAATTGAATTGTCGAATATTCAAATCTGGGTTGAGAAGCAAGGCTTCATCCAAATTAATTGTTTTTTTTTTTTTTTTTTTATGACCAGCAAAGGTTTGGGTCTATGCTCTCTTTCCTACTGGGAATCAAACTAGGAGCACAACAGTACCAAATTAATTGTTAGTGAAAGATTTGGTGATCAAACTTTAGTTTTGATATGCCTATGATCTAAATAGTGAATTTGCTATTGAACACATTATTAGGTTCAAAGATTTTAAAAATGGTTTTGCACACACCAAAAAAAAAGATTTTAAAAATGGATATTAGTTAGGTAATGGAATTGTTGTGCATGGTTCTATTAAGATTAAAAAAATATGTAATAGGTTAGAGTTACAATTTATGTACTATAACCTATCTTAATTTCTATCTTTTGGAGGAAAAGAACAAATGAAGCGATTGGAGATTCCAAGTGTTTCAGTTATCTCAAAGAACCCTTGAACGGATCTTGGTTCATCGCGAACATTAATATAAATATCATCTTTTTAAGTCCGAATTTCGTTTATCCAGTTTTGCTGATTTTTTTTATCGTTGGATGCTTGTTATATTTATAGGAAATTTATAGGCTTATAAGCTTATTTGTCCAATATATTATTAAAGCATGTGTTCTGGATATGAACTTTTTTCAAGTGAACCTTCTAAAACTTGTAATCTAGTAGTTTTCATGTTTCCTTCAAGGCTATCTGAATTCAAATACTACATCCATTTCATATTTACAGATAAGTTTTAGCTAAATTTAAAAAGATGTTTTAACTTTTCAAGGCAAAGAATATTGATATAAGATAGGATTTATGATAAGGTATTTCGTAACTTTTCTTAATTCGTGTTCATTATGTCAAACTGAAAGAGATGGATTTATTCTGATATATGTTCTATTCTACAATAATATCGATCAGAGTCTACATGTAGCCATATGTACTCTCAGCTTCCTTTTCATTGGTTATTCGTGAGATCCATCGTATACATTTTATAAATATCACGAGTAGTTTTGTTCTTGAATATGTTTCCAAAAAACAAATGACTAAATAAATTTAAAAAAAAAATGACAAAATACAGAGCCTCTTTGTACAAATGTCAGTGATTTATTTCAGAAATATTATTTACAAGAAGTAACTAATGAGCATTCACTTTCTATTAAGTCGCTACCTAAACTGGAAAACAGATAACTCCTACAGAGGTTAATAATTTTTTTGTGAAATCGAATACCAACTCTACAACAAAGCTATAGCTCGTGAAGGCCACACATCTCTAGAGGAGAATGATTACTAAAAGTGATTTACTATAACAGGAAATCTAACTCTAAGTTTACGGCATACATCTATACATAAAGTTCTCTGATACTATAATAGAAAAATCTATGATTCAACTCCGAGTAATAGAGCATGCATCTATGCCTAAAGTTCGATGATAACTTGACTCTAAAAATGAAGTTGAAACACAAATTGATATACCTGTTAAAACTTGCTCAAATCAACCGGAAAATGTATGTGAGGCTAATACCAAAACATTCAGCTACACAATCTGAGCCACAACATTTTCTTGCAGAACCTAAACAGAACAACACAACACAACACATAAGAATATCAACACCATTACTGCATTCTCGATGTGATTTGACCGGGTAAGATCAAAAATAAGTCCACTGAGATAGGACAAGACACAGACCAATCCCAGAGGTACCATCTCAAAATCAGAAAAGAAAATAATAACTGCTCCAAAAACAAAAGCCTCCTGCTGTGTTCTCAAAAGCTTGTAAATTCTCTGGAGCATGGATGATTGACTTGGTGTGGATCCAGGCTCGGATTCTAGCTCCACAAGCTCTTACAATCACATTAGGAGAGATTGAAACAAATCTCATTCATCTTGAAATCTCTCATTCATGCATTACTTGCTCTTAACTTATTTGATGCTAACGCAAACTTGTGATATGACAACAACAAACGACAGAGCCTAGAAACAACTTGCAAAACCAACAACTTCACCAATTTTGACGGATGATTAACATCGCACTGCGGATTTTATCAGACATGATTTTGATTTCAGGAACCGAAAAAGCCAGGAAACAGAAACTCACAGAGATGCATTTTTAGCTCAATTTTTGCATTAAAGAGACGTATATTGATCTGACCATAGGAAAACTGTTATAACTGTAGAAGATAATCATCTCACCAACAGGCTAGATCTAAAAAAAAAATTATGCTCCAAGGATCGAGTACACACAGAGAAGGACTGAATCGATGCATTTACAGTTACCTCCATTGTAAAGATTGGACTATAAGCAACGCTTCACAAGTCAGGGTTATCCAAAACCAAACCCACAGAGAATGAGTAAGACTTACTAGTACTACAAAAGCTAGCTTGTGAGTGAGGTTGCCTCTAAGTGTTATAAAGCATTAGTTCGTTGTCTTTCTTTCATATCCAGTGTGTGATTGTTAACACATCGACATTACGTTATGAGAAGCATAGAGGTTACACTGAGGCGTGAAAGCCACACACATCGTAGAAGAACATGCAAAGTAAAAGCAAATACCATAACAGATAATCGATGATTTAACTCTACGTGATGGAGCATCCACTGAGAATCTTTAGCAAAATCTTATATATGTGATAATGTAGCATATGGATTTCACAAACAGTCTAATATAGTTAAAAATAAAATATACCATATGTTGGTAATGTTACAAGTCAGTACCATTGTAATCACCAAATTCAACCAATAGAGAAAGCATCCTAAAAATGAAAGGCAAAGCTAACGCAATTCGATCTTGTTAGTCACAAAGATTCATAATGTAACTTCCAACTAGTAAATACCCTCAAAGATATTCTACAAACTTCATCAATCTTGCAAGTTGAAACCTTTTTTCGCAAAACAAAAGTAGTTTTAGAACAGCTAACACATGCACATCTTATGACTTAGACTATTTTTGTCAGTGTACTGCAGGAACTAAACTAGTGGCAACTTCTAATCAAGAACTCGTCAAGAAATAGTTTTCTGCAGGGAAACCACTATTAACTTGAGTGCTTGGGTTTCACAAAGATTACACTTACGACATAAATACAAACACCAAGATACCAAATAAAGGGATCTCATACATTCACCACAGACCAAGTTCAGAGTGTGTACTTTTGCACTACGACTCATACTATCAAAACTCCAAGAAATCTAAACTCTCTAAGACAAATCAAACAGAAAATTGAATGAGTAATATGAAAGAAAATTGCATAGTTCTGCACAAAAGTAAAAACTTTCATCAATAGAAATTTCACATTTTGTTGAATCTAAAATCTATTTCAGGTCCTCTCCTGCTTTATCCGAGATATACAAAACATATCCGACGAATTAACATTTCAAATGTAAGAAAAGAGAAGCAAACATTTCTTCATTCTCCTTTCATCACCATTCCTAATTATATTCCTATAATCGTATCAACCATTATTTCACATCGATCCCTTCCTTATTCCTATCCATATATGTTTCTTCTTCCCCCTTTAAACGTATCATTCAATTACCCAGAAAAACAAAATTACGATATTTATAAGGTATCATAAAATCTGTACAAACCGCTAATTATCAATTATCATTACCCCTTTTTCGACCTTTTGTTCTTCGCAGATCAGCGAGTGAGAAGCATCATCCTCTCTTGATCGGTGAGGGAGTGGCGGAAATGGCAACGGTGGCCGTAAGGACACGTGGCTCCGGTGACGATCATTCTGCAGACCTCGGTTTTGTAGCGTGGGTGCCTTATCACCGGACGGAGCTCTTCGATTCCGTGAGCGAATTGGCAGTTATCGCCGTAATGACAGTCTCCGGTCTGTTGCCACTTGTTGCAGAGCTCCGTCTTCATCATCCCTTGACGATAAACCTCAAGCTCCAAAGCATCTCTCTCTCCTTTCGTTGGCACACACACCTTCTGTGATACCTTCACACAGATTTATCGACATTTAATTTCACAATTGAAAATATCGAACGGTGAAGGATTTTTTGGCAGAAAAATTCAATTTTTATTTATTTTTGGCGAGATGTTTATTACTTTATGTAAAATTAATTAATTAATTAGACGAGTGAGAATTACCGATTCGGAGCCGAGTTGACTCGAGAAGCTGAGTTGACTCGCTTGACGATCCGCACCGCCACATCCATGGCTTCCCTGGTTCATCATCTTGAGATATCCCGGCGAGCGCACGGAGATGCTCTTAGGCAACGAGTTTCTCTGCGGATCGCTCTTCCTCGCGGAGGGAAAATGCTTATTAACGCCGCCTTGGCTACCGAAATCGGAGATCTGAGGGCGATTCTGGCGGTTATGGACGAGCGGTGGAGAGACGGAGGAGGAAGACGAAGTAGAGATGTGGATAAGCTTGAGGAGATCGATGTTTTCTTGGCGGAGAGAGTCGTTTTCGTGGCGGAGAGAGTCGAGTTCCGTCATTAGGGATTGGAGGCGGGAGATGCAGAGCTCGTAGTGCTCGTTGAGTTCGTCGTACTCGAGGATGAGACGCGCTTGGCGAAGGCGGTGCTCTGTGGTGGTGTCGACGCGAGCCAGAGGAGAGGAGGATGATGGAGGAGACGGAGAGAGGGATAACGAGCTCGGGAACTGAGATTCCGGCGAGAAAATCGAGTTGTAAAGCGACGCGAAGCTTGCGGCAAAGTCTTCCTGGTGTTGTTTGCTGTTGCTTTGGTCAGATTGCGGTGATAACGGAGGCGGCGACGAGTTTATCGCCGTCACGCATGCCAGATCCGTTGCAGTAGACGCGACTTTCTCCATTTGCGATCTCGAGAAAAGCTTCCTGTAGAAGATTGTTCAGCAATTCGCCGAATCAAATCCAAAAGATATAACGCGGAAGCAATTTTCTGATCAAACTGGTAGAACGATGGAATTAAGGCGTTGGAAAACTCGACTAAAACCACATTGATTCCGATAGATCTAGAAAATCTCCAGAAAATCAAACTCCGAAACCAGAAATTGGATGATCTCGATGATTCAACTGTCATTATGCTTCGGTTTGATCGGAGAAGACAATAAAAGCACACAACAAAACAGAACGAGCAAAACCTAGAGAGAAGGAGGAAGAGAGAGTACCTGAATATTGCTGAAGTTTGGAGAAGCAAAGAGAAAGGGCGGTAAAAATAAAGATGAAGAACGCGAAATATATACAGACGGTCAAATACAGAACCAGAGAGGTGAGGAAGAAAAAGAGTTATAAATCATATGCGGGAGAGACCACGAGAAGCTTATTCCACTACTCAATCGACACCGTACAATGAGACGATCTAAGGATCTGCTTGTATTTAACTGGTTAATGAATCGCTTCCCTCTGTTAAGTAAAGCTCAGAAGAGTATTCCACCTACTTCACTTTCCCGCCTACTTCAGAAACCGTTAGAGATGTCTAACAAAATATTATTTTATTTTTTTAATAAAGAGAACGTAGATAACTTCAATAACAATTTGTGTTTGCAAAGTGCATACAGAGACAGTGAGAAAAAAATGATTAGTATATTCGTTTTGGTGTATAATTTTCAAACGTAAGATTGTAACAATATATATTCACCTTGAATTGATCGATATTTAATCGAAAATATGAATGAATATAATCTTCTGGCTGCTTCAAATTTTCGATCGCAGTAATAGTTATGATATTTAGGCTCGACTATCCACTAAATAGTTCAGAACATTATAGGTAGGGCTTATTTCTAGATAACTAAAGTTTTTAATAAAATTGGCAAAAAAACAATATGCGATAGCAAACTTGTTAATAAGTGGTGTTTTAGGCGTGTTATTGGGTCAATTAATGATTCTAATTCAACCAAAAAAACATGACACACGAAATTTTATGTTTTTTTTATGAAAAGAAACACACACAATAAGTAAATCATTCTCATTATTACAATTTTGACTATGAAGTGCACCATATTTCTTACTAATATTCTATGAGCAACTATAGACATCAACATTAAACAAAAATCTAATTAAACTTATTTTGAAACTTTAGATGGAAACAAAAGTTTGTTAAGGGGGAAGTTTTGCTTGTCACTAAAGGATTTTAATTCAGAAAATAAAGAAGTAAGGAGTGATGTGTTTGTAGAAGAAAAAAAGAAATGAATTATAATCGGAAAATTATTTTAAAAGTTTGGTTGGCCCAATCATGGAATAAGAATAGTTAATTAACTCATGACTAAATAATAATTATAAATTTAGTGTCTTTGTTTAGTTTCACGTTGGAAACGACCGTAGTAAGGTAAGGGAATATTTAGTGGGTTTGCTTCAAGAACACAGCTTTAACTAACTGTATGGCCCCTCTTCTTACTCTATGTATATACTTCAATCAAAATCTTTCGTTGTTGCTAACTAACTTGAACATGTTTCCTTCCTTCTAACCCAACAACCTAGCCGAATTTACTTTCTTACCCTTCTCTACGACGTTTCCTCTTAAATATCATCATCACATAATCTTTTCTTACGATTAATCACTACATAGGATCTCTCTCAATTGTCAATTTATTTGTCAATTCTTGAATTTTGAGATACTATTTTCGTTATTAAATCATTTCACAAGTTTATTAACGAAGAAAATTTCAAAATGCGTATGTAATCGTGTCAATGATAAAAGCAAAACATACGCGAGACTGAAGAGACAAAAATGGGCCGGATAAAATGGTTCTTAAGCCCAATAAATACGTAAATAATACTGTCCACAGGTTAATTATACGTAAATCCATATGCCTATACTTAATTTATCTCAATCTTATCTGGTTTTCTCACTCATAAATCCACAATCACAAAACCATGAGATCAGATAACCTCTGGACCCGAAAACCAGTCATCAAAACCGGGAAATCCGAGTTTTCGGTTATCAGATTCCTCCGGGAACACATTGAGAAGATCAAGGACAAAACCGGAGGTCCCGGGATCGGCGGCGGTTTAGGCTGCGGCGTTGGACTCGGATTTGGTCTCACCGGCGGGCTCGGAGTAGTCGCTTCTGAAGGGATTAACCATTCTAATGTGGTGTTTGGCGTCGGGATGGGTTGCGGTATCGGGGTCGGGCTTGGGTACGGGTTTGGAGTTGGCGGCGGATTCAATTTCGATGACATTGGAGATAAATTGACCTATGGAAAAAGCTCCGCTTAAGATTCCTGGTCGGGTAAAGGATTGTGAATGTATTATTGAGACATCTTTGTTAATTTATTTCATTTTCAATCAAAAATACTCTTCCTTTTTGTCTTTATTAGTTCCGAATTGCTTGAATATTCTTACATAATAGATCACAATGATGAAGGAAAAACATAAAAATTATCATAAAAAGTTAATTTATTAAATCGAAGATACAAGTTTTGCGAAGCTCTCAAAGACATTTCTCATGGTTGGTCTTTTATCTGGGATTTTCTGTACACAAGCCAAACCGATTTTGATCGCTTGAACCCTACTTTCTTCCATATCTCTATCTCGAGCTAAAACCGGATCAAGAACATACCAAATCGGTTTATTTCTCTCACTAGCCGACTCAACCCACATAACCAAATCCGTCTGCATAACCGGAGATTTTCCGGTTACCATTTCGAGTACCAATAAACCGAATGAATAGACGTCCCATTTTTGAGACGGTTTATTCATCTTGTAAGCTTCAGGAGCTTGGTAATATGATTCTCTAGAGACGATCGGTGAACTTGTTTCCATCGGAGAGATCTGGTCCGATCTGATCTCTGAAGAAGACATGTCCACGATACGCCCCAAACCGAAACCTGAGATTTTCGGTTCAAGATTCGGTCCAAGAAGTATGTTGCTGGAGTTTATATGTCCATGGACGTATCTTTTGGGACTAAACTCGTGAATGTAACTCAATCCTTTTGCGATTCCTCTCAATATTCTTAACCGGACCGGCCAAGAAAGTTGCTTGCAAGACAAGCTACCAGGTCTACCTGTTAATATAACTTGTATGAATCAGGCTCAACCTAAAATTCTTAACTTTGAAACTATGGTCTTTAAGACTTTAACATTCAAGAATTTACGAGATTTGATTCCAAAACTTACCTTGAATTGCCGAACCAAGGTCACCATTTGGTATATAATCATAGATCAAGAGTTTCTCTTCTGGTGACCAGCAACAAGCTTGAAGATTCAAGACATTCGGGTGCTTTATTTTCGCCATTGCTTCAACGTCAGCAAGAAACTCTTTGAGCTTTAAGCGACCTCTATCTTCTAATCTTCTAACGGCTAACATTAACCCGTTTTCAAGAACAACTTTGTAGATAAGCCCGATCCTGCTCTTCCCTAAAAGAAAGGCCGAGGCTTTCAGAAGCTGGTCGAGGTCAAACTCGATCTCCGGATCCATTGGAATGAAAACCTGTTGAGTCTTGTTCTCATCTTGCGCTTCGGATTCTGAGTTTCCACTCTTGAAACAGAGAAACTCTTGCTTTGTCTTCTTCTCTAAATGACATGTTCGGTTGTTTTGATCTTTGTGTGCACGAGCCGATGCTTTTCTGAGATAGTAGATGAATAACGAAGCAAGAAAGATAATCCCTGCGAATGTGCCTCCGGCGGCTGTAAGGATGATGCATAATCGTGAATGATGGTTGGCTTTTCTTGAATATAGCTGAGAAGGAACAATCTGTGTGTTTCTTGTATCGCAAGAAACCTTTATAGGTAATCCACAGAGGAGAGGGTTCCCTTGGAAAGCATTTGGCCCGGCGTTCAACAGAACATTGGATTTTGGTATCGGACCGGTGAAATTGTTGTAAGAAAGATCGACATAGAGAAGCTCAGGGAGATCTCCAAGACTCGTTGGAATCAAACCTGAGAAGGAGTTATGAGAAAGATCAAGAGTACCTTTCAGATCCTTCAGGCTTCCTATATCCTCAGGGATCGTTCCGGTTAGGCGGTTGAAAGAAAAATTCAGCGTCCGAAGATGAACCAAATTAGAACCTAAACCGGTTGGAAGATATCCAGAGAAACCATTGTTGCTAAGAACAAGCGTTTTCAGCTTCTTGCATTGAGTAAGCGACAAAGGGATCGAACCATTGAAAGAATTCTCCGAAAGATCCAAAGTCATCAGACTCTTCAACCTCCCAATCTCTTCTGGAACCAACCCGGAAAAGGAGTTTCCAGAAAGTACCAAGCTTTGAAGACCTTTTGGTCCAAAGAGTTCGACAGGCAACTTCCCTTGAAGATCATTGTCTCTGAGGTTAATGTGACGAAGGGACAAGAGGGTTCCAACAGAAGGATTAAGAGAACCAGAAAGGCCTTTGCTTGGAAGACGAACTGAGACAACTCTCAGATCATCATTACATGTAATGCCTTGCCAAGAACAAGGGTTTGAATCTGAGGAGTTCCAATTGCTGAAAACAGAGTCTTTTTGGTTTTGCAAGGATTGCTTAAAGGAGAGAAGAGCAAGACCTTGATCGTTTAGAGAAGTAGCTATGGGGATGAAATGGGTAAGAATGAAGCAGAGAATGAAAAATAATTGAGCCATCTCTAGAGAGAAACCAATTCTGAATTGAGTTAAGTTTGGCTCATAAATATCTAAAATGATGATAGAAGTGATAAAGCTATATTCAATAGTGTTGCTATGCCCTGGACTGGCCTAGTTTTCCAAGTCAACAGTTGTAATTTCTTTTCAATTCTAACATTTAAAGATTTTTGTTTTTTTTTGTTGGAAGAAAGTTTACAAGTCATGCACCAAAGAAAAATATCATAAAGAATATTTGAAACCGGATATTTTTTTCTAGAGGAATTTAATTGTGTTTCAATGGAATTAGCGGCGATTGTGGCGATAATTGGAACAGTAAGGGCACGTAATGTAATGAGAAACAGCTTTTAGAGTTTCTTCTAGTTGTTTTAGTGGTGGGGAGATGTATTGACGCTTGGCTTCTAGATCCTAAAAGTCAAATCTCCACCAGAAAAATTATTGTGGCGGTCAATTAAAGTTTCGGTTCGATATGATTTTCTCCATTTCATATATATTTTATTTGTTTATTTGGAGTCTGAAACTAACTACTAGTTTGGAGAATAATAAGAGTTAAAAAAACACTTCACAAACATGGATTTGTAATAGTTTTGGGGATCAAATTCAGAAGAAAACAAAATCTTAATGCTTTTCTCTTAAAATAATTCATACAAGTTTGTCAAATTATTCATAACGTATAATGAAAACAAGGGATTTAATAATGCGATGTTGCAAATAGAAAGCTCGATGAAGAAAAGAATACCAATGTAAAAATATCGGTTACTAATAAAGAATGTCATGAATTTAATAATCACTTGTTTGTTTAATAATTTTCAACAAAAAAATTATTGCAATTCACTTGTTTGTTTAATTATTTTCAAAATACACATATGCTTTTTGTGATATTTTTTTTTTGTTTTTTGTTGTCGTCCGTGTAATGACTTTGTATTCGATTTGATGTTAGTGAATAAAATTAGACAAAAAAGGGATCAGAAAAAAATAAAATATACATGAAAAACATACTCAAAGTGAATCTCTAATGTTATTACCAAAAAATTTCTACTTTTAGTATTACATAACTTTATATGTATATTTATTTGTAATATATTAACAAAGTATGCAACATTTTATCATATGATTAATATACACCTAAGTATACATAAATATATTAAGATGCAAAACAAATAAACCAATTACAACACTACAACAATGTGAAACTTCAAATGCACGCAAAAAAACTTTTCAGTCACTAAAACGAAGATGAACTAAACTTCTCATTGCTCTAAAGCGGACTTATCTCTTTTCCGGCTAAAAAACTTGACCAAGTTCGGAACTTTCTTCTTCTTCTTGATTACAAAGTAATTCGGAGTGCCTCTGTTACCTGATGAGTATCTTCTCGCGTTCCCTCCATGAACCGGATTGAATTTCCCGCTCAGCCTAACCGATCTTCTCACCGGTTTAGGAGAGACCAAGCTTTTGTCTTCAGAGCTCTCCTTGAACTTCTGAATCTCGTTCTGCACCAATCTTTTAATAGATAGAGACCTCTGCATCCTAAACGATTCCCTCTCTTCTTCCACCATTGTTTTGCCACTCTCTCTTTTCAAAGTTTCCGTCTTCATCAGAATCGCTTTAGTGCTTGCCTTAAGTGCTTCGACCCATGCCATTGCCGCTTCCACTTTCTTCTCTGCAGTTTCCTCAGCTAGACGAGCTTGTCCACTCAAATACTCGTACTCGAATCTCGAGATTGTGATTGTTGAATTACGCTGAGATTTCATTTCCCGAGTCTCCATTGTCTTCTCCACCATTGATTCAAGCTTCTCAAGAGCTAAAACCTCTGCTTGCTTCACTTTCTTGAGCTCATCTAACTTGGAAAGCAACTCTTTCTCCTTCCCACTAAAACCCATTTCGGTTTTCTCTACTTCTTTCTTGATGAGCTTTGCTTCTTCTTTAAGACTAACCTCCTCTTTCTTTGCAGCTTCTTTATCGTTCTTGAGTTTCTCGAAAGAACAAGTTAAATTGTCAGCAAGAGAACTGATTCTTGCTTCATCTGCAGATACCGCTTCTAATTTATCTTTCCCCATAAGCAGCTTCGTATTGAGCCTCTGAATCATTACATCATCCTTTTGTATGACCTTCTCGAACCGAGCTGTTTCTTGTTTGACTTCCTTAAGTTCTTGCCTCAAAGCATCCATTATATTGACGATACAAAAGAGCTCTGCCTTAATAGAAGCGAGCTCCTCCTTCTTGGCCTCTGTTGCTTCCGTAACTTCTTTCAAAACCGACAAAGTGTCGTTCCCTCTTTCGAAAGAACGGTTCTTGGATCTCGACATACTATCATTCCTCTGAACCTTCCTCTCCATGTCTTTAACAAGCTTTAGCTGAATCTCTAACATCTCAATATCTGATAAAGTCTCTGCTAACACATTCTCATACTCCTTTGATCTCTCAATCTCTTTCATCATCTCTCTAATTCTCTTCTTCCTTCTCTCCAACGAATCAAAAGCTTCCTTCTTTTCCCTTTCTCTCTGCTCTTCAACCTCTTTACGTTCTTTCAAAGCCTCCATCTTCGCTAATTCAACCAAAACATGTTCTTCGTGAGCAAGATCAACCTCTAACTTAAGACTCTCAAGCAACTTCAAATTCTCTTCCGTTTTAATCCCTAACTCCATTACTTCCTTCACCGCAACAGCTTTCTCTCTCGAAATATATGCTACATCAAGCTTAAGCTTACTCAGTTCTTGCTTCACAATCTCTAGTTCTCTCACGGTCTGAGCGTACCTGCCGTTTCCACCAATCTTTAGCTTCTTCACAGCTTCGGTATCGGTTTTCCGAGATTTTAACCTTCGATTCGACTCCTCTATAAGTAAAGTTAGCTCCTGCACCGTCTTCTTCGCCTTGCTTAGTTCAGCTTCTGCTTTTGCTTTTGCAGACTCAGAAGCTATTCTGCTCTCTCTGTACATACCAAGCTCTCTCCCTGACTTATGCAAGTCCTCGGCGACTGAAGGAGACGGCTTTTAACAAAACAGAGAACATATAATCATCACCAACAAGTTCACTGTATACAAATTTAATCTCAAAAATCAAAACTTTAGCAAACTATCAGCATTCTTTGCACAAACAATGCAAGAAACTACACAATTATTGAATCTAAATTCATCTCAAAAATCAAAACTTTAGCAAACTAAGAGCATTCTTGACACAAACAATAAAATAAATTACACTTTTATTAAATCTAATTCATCTCAAAAACCAAAACTTTAGCAAACTAAGAGATTTTTGGCACAAACTTGAATGAAATTACACTCTTTGAATCTAAAGAATTGATCTTTGGTCTCACCTTAACTTCTGGTGAATCAAGCAGAGGAGAGACGCTTCGAGTAACTTTTTGTCCGTACTTGTTAATGGCGGCTTTCACTGATCCGATTCTTCTTCCTCCAACTGAATTCCCTTCAGCCATTGATATATTCCCTCTGGGTTTCTACTGAAATTCAAAGATTTGCCCAGAAAAACCCTAACACTTAAACTCGGCAAATCAAAATTCAATCTTTTCTTGGAAAAGTAAAACTACAGAAATAGAGTGACCACATAATTATCCAGAAACGTATAGACACTGAAATTTTCTAGTTCGAAATTTTGTTAGCTATGTGACCAAACGGAATTTTTTTAAACGAGAACTTACAGGTGATTGAGAAGTTGGAAGAAGAGAAAGATTGTTGTTATGTGTCGCAGAGAATAAACGGAGGAGAAGGAGATGATTGGCTCACATCGTCTCTGCTTTCTTATCAATTTTGTTTTGTTTTTGCCCTCTCTGGAGAATTTATGTAAGTTTGTTTCTTCTAAACATTGATCTGAGGCCAAGGATTCCACAAGTAGCACAAATATATATGACATATGAAAAAGCCTTAAAATAGTTTTAAAAACAAAATTGAGATATTATCTCTAAGGGAGGATAACTGTATTATTAACTTTAGAAAGTGGATTTATAACTAGAAAAATCTAAATATTTTTTATTATTATTTTAATCTATGGTATTGATATTACTCTTAAGTTATTTGTTAGAAAAAAATTATTTTATAAAATTGTTATTACTTTTTAATTGTTATATCTATAAGAAATAAAACATAAATCTACCATATTAAGTGGTTGTATGTTATAGCTGGTTAATAAATATTTGAGAATAGTAAATATATTTGAAACTGATAGATTTGTTATAATAAATATAATTTAACGACGGAATATATATGTTTGGAATAGTAGATATATTTAAAATTTAGTAGATTATTCATAATGATGGAAGATTTGTGTTTTAGAATCCTTTATCTATTAGTTGACAATGTAGTTTAATAAAATATGCTGATTTGTTTTAATTTCATTAGTTAAAAAAATCAATTTAACCTAATTAAATATGACATGAAAATGATGATGTGTAATGATGATGTAATTGTGACATGATATTTGCTAACACATGTGGATTATGATATGGCAAAAAAAAATTTATGTGTTTAATTTTATTTAGTTCAAATAATTATTTTATGAAAACTGAAAAATATAAAATATTTTATTATTAATATAAATTGCAAACTGTCGTTTTTTATCACATGCACAAAACATATGTAATGTTTTTTACTACATGCACAGATTTGTACACGTTAAATTGTATAAAAATTATATATTCATCACATGCACCGACTATATAATCTAAAATAACATTAATCTAACAATGTTTAACTAAATAACCCATTTTTGTTGTCCACACAATACAGAAGGTAAACAAATATACAAAGAGAAGTTAGAGTATACTAAGTTTTGTTAACCGACGTATGATTATCTACTTTTAACAGTCTTCTTGAGATTGTCTTTCCGCAATATAATCCAAAGCAACATTAATTGTATCATCAAATTGTATAAAAATTATGAGAATTGTCTTCATCACATGCACTGACTATATAATCCAAAGTAACATTAATCTAACAATGTTTAACTAAAAAGCCCATTTTTGTTGTCCACACGAAACGTAAGCTAAACAAATATACAAAGAGAAGTTGGAATATATATATATATATAAGTTCAAATAATTTTCTGTCTTTAATTTATTTTAATTCAAATATTTGTTTTATACAAAGAAGTCTTCGAGAATTTAGAGGCTAAATAACTGGATAAATTGAGGAAGATTAATTGAAGACGAAGAAGATGATGAAATTTGCAGGTATGTACGCATGACCCGCAAATCCACAGCAGGTAACCCGCTCAACCAGCTATCCACGGGTCTGACCCATTTGGCCCCTTAACATAATAAAATGGGCTTTTTGTTATAATAAAATGTTTAGTTAAAATTATATCATATTTTGCTATTATGACCTATAATTTAATCGCTCTACCTAATTTTTTTATATATTACAAAAAATTAAAATATTTATAACGATTTAGATATTATATTTATGTAATTAAAATTTTAAAACTGTTTATGCCTGCACATGCATGCGGACCAAACTCCTAGTAGTACTTTTAAAGAGGAAAATTTACCATATTGAATAGATAACTGACTTTTGTTGATGACAAAATTTTTAGTTGTGATAGATAAACTTAGAACGGTAAATTTAAATTATAAAGTGTTAGATTTTATAATCTGGAACATCTGTTCAATGGTAATGATATATTTATATATATTTGTTTTCCGAATGAATGTAAAATTAATTCAAACCAAATTTTTTTTTTACAATTTGTGTTACTCTGATTTTAAGAATTTAAAACTGTTTTTAACATATTAATGAGTAGAGAATCAGATTTCCATCCCCTCCTCAAATCGGGTATCGCCCATCTTACGAATGATGCTTAATCAGTTTCGAACTTGCTTATCTATCAACCGTGCTATCTGTTGAGGGGGAGTGGGAGGCTCTCCATGTCTTCTCCCGTTTCGTTCGCGCCATATTGAGTGGATTGTCGCTTGGAAGACGTATCGAAGGAGGAACAGGGAGATCTGGGCTTGAGATTCGTCGACCAGTAAAGCGAAGATACTCTCCCATTGTGTTGTATACCTGGCGCCGAGCATTCTATTAGTGAGTTCATTCCAGAACTCCGCAGACCAGGGGCATTCGAAAAAAGGTGATTCCGGGTTTCAATTGGAACCTGACAGAGAACACATGATATGTTTTCCCCTACGTTCCATCTGACCATCCGATCACCTGTTGATAACCAATTTAGAGCTGCAAACCATGTCAGAAAAGAATACTTAGGCATTGCGTGTTTGAACCACACACCCGTATACCATTCCCTGATCGGTTGTGCTACTCTAATAAGCTTCAAAGTGGCCTTGGAGTTGAATGTGGCCTTGTAACTGTCGTCTTTGTATTTCCACAATACAACATCATCATTTTGAACCATTCGTTTCTGCGTTTGAGCTCCAGTTTCTTCCTCTAATTCATTCAAAATGTTGACTCTATGGCGTCTTCTCCTGTGAGATGCCAGAACCGTTGATACTTTGGCGTGATTTGGGATTCCCATAACCACTATATTTATATATTCAACAGTATTTATTATGGTAGATTTAGTTAATGATGCGGTAGATATAACATCTGGTCCACTTCTTCATAAATATTATTATGGTTGATATGTTATAAGAGGTGGTAGCTTTATTATGGGTTAATAGATTTATTTGGTAGGATCGTAGATTACATAAACTTATGGTATTTACAAGAGTGATCTGATTGGTAGAGTGTAACTGTACATGTAGTGGTAGACAAACGTTTGACATACATAGTTTGACTTTGTCATTGGCTCGAAACGGTTTTGATCCAAATTCACAACTTGTTCTTAAAAGAGATAGTTTTTGATCTGAAAAGAAAGATAAAACTTGGATAGAAATATGGTTTTTAGGCCAAGTCTATTTAAAAGAGAGTCCCAAAATAGGTTTGGTCCACAAAAAATGCCTAGTCAATGAAATAGTCAATCCTTGGATAGTATGCATCAGGCAGGATAGACTGTGGCTCTCCTCGGTGCGCGTGCTCGCAGTCTCGGACTGGTGGCTTGGGTGATTTCCTCGATCGAGAGTCTCAGCTCAGGATGCACCGGGCAGACTATTTGAAGGACCTGGTCGGTGCATGTGCACGGTATGTCATGTGCCTTCAAATGTCGTATAAGCTTGTCGGCGTATAGATGGCTCTTCACATGACAATATCCACAGAGCTGGCTCCATGGTGTACGGTGGTCCTTCCATAGTGTGATTGCCATCGAGCATGCCTATCGGTATACGACCGTCCTTCCTCGGCACGATCTCCACCAAGCTGGGTCCTTGGTGTATGTCGGGCTGTCCACGGTGCAATCACCACCAAGCAGCTTCGGCACAGAACATTCCTTGGCCGGTGCGAAGTGCACCGAGCAGGGCAGAGATGGTCCTCCACCGTGCATTTCCTTGGTGCAGAGGAAGAGTCTTCCTTTGGTGTTGTTTCAGCTTGGTTCTCCACCTTGATATATATTCAGAATCCACCTCGTCTTATAGCATAAGGTTTCAAGACTTTCAGCTTGATGAATGATAAGTGAAGATAAATATGATGGTGAAAGATTGCTGTTTGATTCCACAAGTAGCAGATAGACCAGAAAGGCTTGATTCTACAAGAAATACTGAACTCGATGGAACAAAGTCACCACATAGATTGTGAGGGGATCTCTGATACTGAACAAATTCGAACTTAGGCGATTTCACACACTAAAAATCAAATGAAGAACACAAAGATAACACTTTGTAAGAGAAAACTTTAAAGTTTATTTGATTCAATGATAAAAGTTAATTTACAATGAAAACGAAATGGATCTTTTTATAGGCTCATATACAGCGGTCCTAATAAGTGTTAAACAAGAAAAGAAACCCAAAAATTAAAGAGTGTGGTCGTGGGAGCTTTGATGATAAAATCAGGCCAAATAAGGAAGTGTCTTAAGCTTTGTATCTAGACACTTTGGGTGACGACTTGTATCTTGAGATCTGGATGATATATCCATGTAAGGAGAGTTTATTGATGATGAATAATTTCTCAAATTCGTGCTTGTCTCGGATCAAGTAGAGAAAGAGTTGTTGGACATTGATTGCTCCAAATGTGAATGCTTTGAAGCCGGATATGGAAAATGTTGACGTATGAATGGCCAAGGTAGAATCCGCATGATCCTCTGGATTCTGGTGCATATAAAGACGTATTTTGAAGCTTATAGATGGTTGCAATTGTCTCCTGGTCGCTAAAGATATGTTTGCAATCTCTCAAACTCGAAAGATTCCAAATAAGGCAAGTACAAGATCCTCTGGTTTAGAAACTTAATAACTTTCAATCAAAATAGATATTGGAATGAATCTAACTCGATGAGTACCAAGGTTGAGTCAAAATTCCATTAAAAGTCGATTCATAGCTTATTTCCTCTCGGTTTGATCGAAATCCTTCAAAAATCTCTCGCATGTCCAATTCTGGAAAAATTCGGTTTAGCCAACTTTGAATTCGAATATCTCCTTGGTATAAAATCTGTTTGGACCGATTCCAATTCTACCAGTGCCTTTGATGAGATTAGAATCCAAAACAATTGGATTTGTTGCTTGGTTCATCCTGATTTAGCCTGAATGATTTTATGAGTGATTGTATGTCTCCATCAAAATCATTAAAGATCTGTCAAATTGTATCATCAATAACTTCCTCATTTGGACTCCTTTTTGGGTGATTCTTCTTCATGGTAAACTCTAGATGAGTTGAGAATTCTTAAAAAGTATTGGTTGAGTTGTAATGTTTGGTCTTGGCCTCCATTTGAGCTAAACTCAGCTCGCATGTCTCCTTAGCTCTCCTTAGCTTCATGATCTCCTCTCCATGTCTCCTGATTCCTTGACCTT